GGAGAAGGATTGTTTCTTTTCTGCTGGCTGATTCCGGTCGTTGTTGTTGGAGTTTACGGTGCATTTCGTCGTTTTCAATACTTCTCTGCCGTAATTGTTTCGCCGGATTTAAAACCTGTGATTGATCAGCCCGCTGCGGACCACCAAGCAGTCACCACCTTTTTTGAAGCAATTTCGGCTTTGAGAAGTGCTTTAGAGTCCGATCGGAATCCAACCACAGAGCTGAACGACGCCGGTTGTCGTACAAAATCCACTTCTCGTCGCAAGTCACAAGCCGATCAAAAAGGGTTATTTTTGTTGCCCACACGTTTCTGTTGCAATATGTGCAGACGACACTTCAAAACGGCGTTTTTTTCGACTATCGTTTAATTCGTGCGGCACTTACTTGTCAGGTTTTTTGTCTTTCCTATGCGATTCGAGGTTCCACTAGTGCCTTCAATTCGTCGTCGTCAAGTTCATTGGGGCGTCCACGGCCTTCCATACTTTCAAGGTCGAAATCACCAGATCGGAATTTCCGGAGCCATCTTCGCACTGTTGATTCACCAACACTACCTTAATATCAAACCTCATCAATGTTTCGGGCCGTCTCAGCTGCACTACCAGCGAGTTCGAATTCATAAAAAAAAATTTGATGAAAATTCGTTTTGGATACCTACTTACTTGGTACTTGAATGGTCTATCCTCGCCGGTTGTGCGGGCTCCAGCATATTCGTCATTTTTGGGAGATTTGCTGGTTAAGCCATTCTGGGTCCCTGGAATCCCGAAGACAACCTGGTCAGTCTGCTCCAGGTCTTCACCACCGCAGGCAGTCGCAGCCCTTGTGGATCAAAGGGAGATTTGCCGCCATGCGATATTGATACCAGGACGGTGGTGGATCATGGTATCGGTTTACTCCTAGCTAGGTTTACTGATAGAAACGTCGGACTTCTTCTCAGCTTGGAAGGCGCTACCAGGGGATGAATCCCTCGCTGTACACGCAGTCCGACATCCAGGAACACCTCCCAGCCACAATGAGGCGGTGAACCGTTAGGAGGAGATTCGCTTTTAACATGTAAAATTGCAAAGCTCAAATTTGATAAAGTACTTCAACCGATAAAATATAAAAACAAAGAAAGAGCATAATATCAGCTTCCTAATAATATACATTGTTGCAAGGTACAAGGAACATTTTATTGGCAAAAAAACACATTAAAACAATAAATATTTTGAACCGCTCATTTATTTTTGAACGAAGCAATGGGTGAGAGGGCAATGGCCGCGCGAGAGCGTTCACGAATTTTGCATGAACACCGTAGTGATACTGACTTAAGCTTGAGATGCGTACAAAACTCAGAACGGCAGGTGCGCTTCGAACCCGGATTAGCCTTACTAATTCCTCAGAAAGAGTTATACGTGGTAAACTTATTCGTTTCCGTTGCGTATCAGAACTACCCTTATTACCCCTATAACTTTGTCAGTGTGAGTTATACGTAGTAAATCCATTCGCTCCCTTTGAGTATCGGAACTGTTCCTATCAAGGGTTATCACTGGTTCAAACACACCTGAGGTCCGGAGTTTTGTTCATATCCGATCCAGATCATGGTTATTTCGCATTATGTCCTGCCATGAAAGAAGGAGTAGGCAGCAAGTAGGAGCTAAAACGCTACCTTACGACTACTAAATCTGGGCAACCAGTAATAAGAATTCCTGAAGTTGCAGTTCGGAATAGACGTCACATATGACAAAATTTTCACACGGTATTAATCAGCAACTCAGTCCTTGTCACTCCCGTTCCTTTTCACTGCTTTTTCTTAGACCCCTTCTGAAGGTTTTTATTTGAGTCATTACGGACTTTGCAAAAGTGTAATTATAAGAAGGTTCTCAATCATCTGCTTCACCTGTGAACGTGTTAATTATAGAATGACTTAGAGCGAGTTAAATATCGTAAATCCAAGTTCTTTCCGTCGCACGTCAAAACTACTCAGTAGGTTGAGCTCATTTATTGAGTGGGAACGTCATCACAAATCCTTATAAACGAAACCCTTTATTTTTTTAATACTTCTTACAGGAATGTATCAAAGCGTAGCACACGAGGTTTTTTTGTGGTATAGGTTAACAGTTTCTGAGTTAGCTGAGTTTCCGATTAGAAATGTCTAACAGATCATTCTAAGCTTAAGAGACCTTGCTATGAATATGAGTCTCCATTCCACTATACTATGCATCATCGACGAACACCAGCCGGCCACGATGAAGGCGAGCAATGTTGAGTGGGAGAAGTTTACGATGTATAGAAGTGCAACTAAGTAGGACTAGTGAATGGAAATCTCAGCCTTAGTGTTTTTTCTGAATGTCCTTAGATTATTTGTTATTTATTTCTGGGTGTCTACTTTATCTTTTATTACTTTCTACTAGAAGACACTGGATTTCGTAAACGTCATTTAAGAACTCAGAAGAGAATTTCTCACATCCTTCTTTGTTTTTCAGTTTTTTGACGTGGCGTAAGGCATATAGGTGAACTTCAGTGGTGCCGCCGAGTTGTTATATGATGCATGAATGGTATCGGCATTGTGTTCATAAGTAATGACATTTTGTATAACAGTGTTTTTCTGACAACTACCATAAATATTTTTCAGAATTTTCGTAACAGACATAAAACATTATACTCATTAAACCCCAATGAATATAGAGAGACGTCTGTGAACCATCACGTAGGATAACATGGTATCCTGAGGATATTGGTATCCTTCGTAATCGATGAACATCACAGCTTCAATTTCTTCAGCTTATCCGCTATCTGCCAGCAGCTTGTTATCTTAACTACTACTAATCAGCGCTTACTGCTCTTTATTGTGACGTAGCAAAAGTCCATAGGTGAAATCAGAGAACTTTTTCGAAAAGAAACGCTTAATTGCCATGCGTTTGAGTCCACAGAGATCGAACAAGACGCGCTATAATTTTGGTTTGTATCAGGCTAATCGTTTTTGCCGCTATTCTAACTCTTGCCGTAATCATTAATCTCTTTTTCTCATTACTGCTACTATCACCATTCCTTTTGTTATTCCCCATTATTACTATTACCAGTATTACTATACTGTAAACAGGTTTTGCTGTAAGCTGTTAGTGAACAAATGTCAGTGACAAATAAATAAACAAACAATCTATAATAAGTAAAGAATATACCTTTGAGTAACAATATATTGTTTTCCTGTTCAGCAAGTACCAGGCTCCTACTATATTAGTTAGTTCTCCATGACAACTGGCGTTTTTATCGGATTTCGGTTTCTTCAAGCTACTCTAGAGGTTGAATTGATTAGTCATCTAGTCAGAAAAGTACGCACATAATCTCAGTGGAAAACCATGAAGCCTAAATCTCAATCTTGTCAAGAACCAGTATTTTTAGGCACTCGTGATTTTTTTATAAGTCTTCCAGTCATTGATGTAAGCCATCAAGAAATTATTGATTAACTCACTGCTCAATGCCAAGCCGAATATAGAATGGCTCTTGGGAAAAAATGTGCAATGTTTTTTGGATATGAATTATAAACAGCAGTATCCGAAATACTTTTTCTTAAAGCTTATCTTTGTATCCTCTTACATTTTCAAGTCATTTCTTTGTTAATCATTCTATTGATACTTACGAATTTTTATATGCATGTGCAAATTTTCCTTTTTTATGCACCGTCGTTCGCAAAGTGTGTGAATTTAGTTTTATGAGCGAAAGAATGAAACCATTGCTAAAGTTTCTGAAGCTTCTACTGGCTTCACTTTGTGCAAACTCATCTATTGGAGAGAGGTGTCTACTAAAAGGATAAAGGATTAAGCTCTCGGCGTTGATCAATCCGTTAAGGATGCGCCATGCACTCGACTTCATTAAGTACCGTTTGGAGGTGATTAAATGCATATCCGGCCTTTACAATGACTCCGGTGGCCGGTGGCTTACTGATATATCAAGCCAGTGCTACTAACCTTCCAGACAAGTCCGGTACCAATTTGCCGACCCCGGAGGTATGGAAGGCTTGGTGAGCCACTGGCACGGGAATCGATCCCACGTGTTTATTGGAGGTCGTCTCCGACTACTGCTCCACACGCGCCGCTTTTTAGTGCCTTGTAGTGAGTAATAATAAAGCCTTTCATGTTTAAAAGCTCATCCTTAAGTAAATGTCTTTGAAAATTCAAAGAATTAGCTATGGAATGGTGTGACAAGCATTCTCTTTGTGGCCATTCAAAGAAATTATGCTTGATAGATACTTGAATGGCCCATCCTCACTGGTTGGACGACCCCAGCATAATCTTCACTTTTCGGAGATTTGATTTGAGCCATTGTGGTTTCCTGGAATCCGGACATCAGCCTGGCTAAAGTTTGCTCTAGGTCTTCACCACCATAGGCAGTCGCAGCTCTTGTGGATCAAAGAGAGATTTGCCACCGTGCGACTTTGATACCAGGACGGTGGTAGATCTTGGTATTGGTGTACTCTTAGCTAGGCTTTCTGATGGAAACGCCGGACTCCTTCTCAACTTGGGAGACTCTGGCAAGGAATGAATCCCCGCTGTACATCGCAGTCCGGCATCCAGGAACACCTCCCAGCCATGATGGGGCGGTAAACCGCCTTGAGGAAGTAATTATACTCTCTGCAAAAGCCAAATTTTCACGTGTTTCCAGGATTTTGTTTCGAACCAAAGAAAAAAAATCACTTCTAAAAGATTCAAACTGGCCAGTGATAAGGCTTAACGAATTCCAGTGTACTTTTGACATTTCTTCTATTTTATTTCACATCTTGATTGCTGTTGTCATCCTTGTCATTTGAAGTGCTAATGAACGATATATCTCTACACTTCTGATTTGAAAGAAGCTTCGTTTGAGTTTTTCCAGTGAGCCAGATGGCGAACAACACGTGTTCATCTACATTTGTTGTTGTATCTTCAGTGTTTCCAATTTTATTGCATGTGATTTCAATTACACTCACATCACGAGCACTGCAAATTCAGTACAGACTGAGAAAGATGTTTCATCCGTTTTTCAGGTGAGTTTATTACGGAAGACAAAAGTGGAAAAGATCAAAGCAGGTCTTATCAGGTAGCAAACTTCCTGAAAATTCGCGCTTGTCCGCCATTCAACAAAATGTATGGACAAAATAATCAAATTGACCATGTAACCAAAAATAGCACTATAAATGAAATGTTACAAATCATAGTCACGGAATGGATTTCACCTTACATACATAGAGACAAGCAGACAGACAGACACACACACACACACACACACACACACACACACACACCGACACACACACACACACACCGACACACACACACACACACACCGACACACACACACACACACACGTTTGAAACTGATTAACTGTTGAGCGCCTTTCGAATGTCTCAAACCGATGAAGAAGCAGTGTCTATCATCTCTTTAGTGAAATCATGAAAGATCATGGTAGATAAAGCTTCGCGAAAGCTTTTTCACTCTTTTTGAGTACTTTGTGAGTTATCCATCTTTTAAAGCTCTGAATTTTTTATAGTTTTTGTAGTTTCTGTTATTCGCTTTCGTTTCAGCCTGCTACTATCCTTACTACTCTTGGGTTACATCGTTTGCAGTGCATCGAGCTCCACCGGCAGTGTACTACAGATGTTAGCGGCGTCAGAGAAGATAATTATCATCACAACCTGCGCTTACTATTCATTCTACTTTTACATTACTGGCATTATATGTTGTTGTGTGATTGAGCGACTCGTTGCGACGATTATGATGAACACCTATGAGCACAATCGTCGATGGTTTCCTGTGATGCTGAGCCAACCGTTTGCGGTTAGTTTGAACACTTTATTTTATCATGTTGGTTCACTTAGTTTCTTAATGAGAGGTGTTTATTGTAACGTTCTTTCTCTTAATGAGTTTGAATGCGATGCATTGGTTTTTCTTAGTTAACTAAAAAACCTTGTGTTACGAAGTAATTCTAGAGCTGAATAACGACTCATTTAAATTTAAAAGTATTTGGAGATTATATTCTAGACTTCAGAGCTATCTTTACTTTTTCTTTCTTCGTAAACTGCGCTATGGAGTTGTCTCGAGCCTGGGTTTTCAGATTACACTGGGTATCACCAGCATCTTCATGGGAGACGAATTTGTACGAGCGCTCAGCACGCTTGCGTTCTATCTACTCAACATTCTGGTGACTTGTTTACCTCTAAGCAGAGCTTTTCAGTATTTTTATCATCTATTAAATTTACTAAACTTTACTACTAATGGCTGAAACTGAATAAAATTTTCTAGAACCGAAAGGATTGATGAATAACAGGAAGGATAATCAATAATAGAACTAGCTGAGATATAGGCGAAACGAAGGACCCGTATGGTGTGGTGGTGAACGCATTAGGCTCCGGAAAAGACAATAGCGCGTTCGTTCTTCTGCGTAGGCACCTATGGCCCGGAGTTTTGCAAATATCTCAACATCGTTATAATCAACAATGTTTTTTTTCTGGTTAATGTAGCTTGCAAATATGTTGCATTCAAACCACCGAAAGGTTGACTTGGACCCTAAAATTCTTGCAATCTTTTCGCCAGTTTTTTTCAATATGACCTTAGTTGTAGAATTACAGGCATTTTGTTAAATATCATTTTTACGCGATATAGGGCGCGTGTAGCGCAGTGTTTGGAGGCACCACTGCGAAATACACATGGAATCGATTCTCGCGCCTATGACCGACCAAGCCTTCCATCCCTCCGGGGTCGGCAAATTTGTACTAGATTTGTCTGGGAGGATAGCAGCACTGGCTCGATACATCAGTAGGCCACCTTAATGTAAAGCGCATATATGCATCCAATCACTTCTAGCGATACTTGATGAAGTCGAATGCATGGCGCATCTCTCAGCGATTGATCAAGGCCGAGCTTTATCCTTTTATCCCTTTATGCGACATATAAAAAGTAACTCACGACTTCAAAATGAAGAAACGGTTCGATCTTCATTGATAGTAGCATTGGGTGTCAGAACTATTGACGAATGTTCTTTGTGATTATGGGATCCTAATGAGATATTCAGGGCCTCATCGTCCTCCTCTTCGTCAATTACCGTATAACAAGAGTACTAGCAGGCTCTGGAGCTTCGCTTACAACGAGGTATCAGATCACGGAAAATATTCGGACAATAAGGTAGGGTTGATACTAAGAATATCAACATTAGCATTAATATGTATTCTTTCTTGATAAGCTTGCACGAGGTTGATAAATATATTTATTTTCGGCTAACGTTTCGACGTCTTCGTCTTCCTCAGAGCCGGTGATCCGAGTCGATGGTCCATGCTTGTTATTACTACGCTTTGTGCTAGCTGATAATACACCGACCTCTGCACGATGTGCGCAATGATGTATATCCGGAAGAAATACAAGTCGTTACCACCGGACATTGTCATTATATATCCACCATCAGCATCGTGTATAAAAGGGCATCACTGAGTGAGGATGCCTCATTCGAGAAGATGGCTCACTGAGGAAGATCTGGCTCGACACGAAGGCGAAGACGCAACGTCGAGGCGAACAACAAGCATGGACCATCGACTCGGATCACCGGCTCTGAGGAAGACGGAGACGTCGAAACGTTAGCCGAAAATAAATATATTTATTAACCTCGTGCAAGCTTGTCAAGAAAGAATACATATTGATTAGTCACACCGAGGTTTAGGGAAGGTCGGTTTCGAAATATTAGCATTAATCACTTATCTTCGTGTTGATTATCGATTGACTCTACTCGGGTCTCCAGCTGTCTCTCTGGTCTGCAAAGGTGACCCATGTGGGTCTTGAACGATCTAAGGAGTCACTGAGGATCATATCTTTCACCTTTGATCTTGGGAAAGATTCTTGACAATCACACCGGTGATCTTCGCGTTCTGTGTCCGTCATCGCTTGAGATCCAGTTGCTAATAGGTTTTGTCTGCCAGTTGTCGCTAAGATGCACTAAATATTTAGTTCGCTTTATGATCGATGCTTTTTTCTTGTTTACAGGAAATGTCTGTGCTCATTGATCATTGACGTAGGTCGCAACTTTGGATTTCCTCTTTCAGTTGCGTGGTGCGTAATCCTGCCAACGTCACACCTCCGTTCAGCAGTGCTGAGTGATTTTTTGTCTAGGTTGCGTAGCGTACAGGTTTCTTACGAGTGTGTTAAAGCAGGAAGAATCGTAAAGTTAAAAAGAAGGGTAGGGAGTCAGGCGTTTTCTAACCTCTTCACGATATACTTGGTGTTTTTGAGAGCTCCAATAAACACCTTTCTTTGTTCTGTTTTGGTCCTGAACGAAGCAGTTGACTTCTCGGCACAAGAACTATGGCTGTGGCATTTTTAGGTATTCCTTGTACTGAGCATGAACAGTTGACATTCCAAGCAAGTACGTATCTCATAAATGTCGTTTTCTTTACATTCGGTGATTGACCTATTCTTTGCTATTCAGTGTCAAGTTGATTCCACTTTCCTAGTGCTTCATGTTATGAGAATGGTGCCATCAGCAAAAGGAAAATGGCATAGCTGTCGACTGTCGAATTTAACTTTAAGTTTCTACCACTGCAGATTCCATATGACAATCTCTGAAATCGCTACATGGATTACATTCTTGGATTACTAAGCCAACACGAAGTTGTTACGAATCACCCATTCCGCTGATGTTTCGGCGCCCTCACCTTCCTTACTGCCGGAATGGTCCGAGTCGATTGTCCACTTCTACTTTATTGTATTCTAATAGATTAAGCGGCGAGTAGGTTTGGGCACCGAATGGCTGTCATCTTCGTGCTGTATTTGATGAAGCCTCAGTGAACGTTGCTTTTTTTTATCGAGGGACCTTCTTTTATCAACTGTGCAGAACTCTGTATTTTTAGACCTTAGTAATTGGCGATAACTTGTTCGTTTACTTTATCTTGTCAGCTCAAGTGGCTCTAAAAATAAGGTAGTATTCATTTAAGCGCTTTTGAAAACTTTTTTATAGTAAAAAGGATGCTAGAGCAAATTACAAATAGTATTCTTGAGAGACTTCTATATTTCTGCATGGCTCTGAAGTGATAATGACAACCTCAGACAACAGCTCACTCTACTCATTCCATTCTATCCTGTGGATTCCAACATCACATTCTTTAGACGTTCTTCTGGGTTCAACATTCAACAGAGTATCCATCAAAATCGTGATTGCTCAATTTATTAGCTTCATTCAAACTCACTGAAACGCGTGATAGGTTTCTGATTATAACTTAAGCTAAATTTTAAAGAATTCAGAGTGTTGTTCCCTAGAATGGTTTTAATGTCTGAAATAGAGAAGGTTGGATTGAAAACGTTGCTGTTAAATGCTGTTTCTCGTAACAACTTGACATAACTTTATAAATTGTATTGATGTATGTGGTTCCTCTTGGAAGCGTTTTCTTTGTCTGTCATTTCTTTTCGGCAATGTTAGGTATACCGAAAAAAAATTAGGGTTTCCAATTTTTGGTGATCTTAGAGATGTGATCTGACCTTTTTGGTAGCAAAAATAAGGCTCACTCAGCACATCGTTGGACGGATTGTTGGACGAGTTGCGAGTCCTCGGTGGGTTGTTAGGTCTTCTGTGTTCATATATGACTTCTTTTTTTCCTCTTAGTTAACGATAGAGATTTTCCCTTTTTTCAAATGGATCTGGCTAGAATCTCCTCATGTTTTGGTCGGATGAAGTATAAAATAGTTTTACTGCAGTGGTTTTGAAGGCGAATCATATAATCATAAAGATTTGGTCGGCCTTTTCTAACACCTTAAGATGGTTTTGCTATCCAACGACGCTTATTCTTTTTCTCTAAGGAAGATTTTCCATTGATGGAACGTGTGGTCGGTGAACGACCAGCAGGACGTTCCTCGTATTTGTCTTGTCCTCTTGTACGAATTTATGCTATCTATTCCTTGCCTTCTCCGTACTTTTCCCTTAAATACCCTTTAAAAATTGTTTAAAAATATGTTGAAAAATGAATCACAGAGTTTTTTTTGCCAATCACTGCCTCCAATTGTTCGTTTGACACTTCTAATTCGATCTAATCTATTGGACAGATTGCGAAGTAGAATTTTATGACACTGCTTGCTCTTAAACGCTTGCGTTAAAGAGGATGCCAAACAGTGAATGGATATGATGTACGCCAACGTAGTGGGTAATGAAAGACTGAATGGCAAATTCTGCGCCACAGTTATTTTTTGATAAGATGTGTTCTCCACGGATGAGAAGTGTTACGTCATTTAATTGAACCATATGTTTTTTTCCTTATAACTGTTGTAAGGTAAGTGATCACGCGGAATATTGTGGAGCTGTAGCCTCAAGAATATGGCGAAGATGTTTTTGACCTGCCATTTTGGTCCAGTTACCTTTTCTGACTGTCTCAACGCTTTGCGTTACGGACGGGAACTCGCAATATGGGTGGTATTGGTGGTGGTTTATTGCAGAGTGATCAGGTTGCTGTTTTGTAGAGTCGTAGCGTAGCTTTGCTAGGACAGTTTGAGGTCTTCGCCACAATCGGTCGCTTTGTATCGAAGAAAATTTTCATGGCAGTGATTCCTTCTGTTAGTCCCACCGACAGATTTGTTCGAAATGATTTCCTTGGCCAAATTTAATTATAGAAATAAAAAGTAGATTGGTCGTTTGAAATGGTGAGAAGGCCGAATTCAGCAGAACTGGAAAAAATTTACCAATAACAGCAATATTAATAGGGATACTGTTAAAGCCATAAAACCCTGAGGAAAAGGTGACGGGCGGCAGGAAACAATGGAAATTTAGGGGGTTGCTACTCAGACCATTCGATGAGTAGTGTGAGCGTGGGTGATAAAAGTGATTTAAATCACTGCAAAAATTTCTCATATTTTTTCTCGTGGCTTTATTATACATAGTTCACCGCATCAGCAAGCAAGAAAAAACAACTACATGCCAAAAGTTCTTTCAGAGTGTTGCTTCCAGCAGTGATTTTCGATTCATTAGTGTCGATCACCGACATATTGGCAATGATTTGCTTTGATCTGAATCCTATATTCGATGAAAAAAGGTGTACTGAAGATTACTACGTAGCAGCATTCTATGGATTCACTACGGTATGTGCTAATAGTTAACACTTTCGATGAAGCTCCACCACGATGGAAAACATCTCTACTTGCCCGCGCATCAGCCTTGCAGCAAAGTCACAATCAAAATCATAATCAGCTGCACTCTTGTCAATATACGATAGTATCACTATTATTGGCTTGAATTGTAGTCCATCACGAATGTAAAATGGTTCACTCATAATTCCTTGACCGGATGAGCAACCGATCAGCTGAAACTTGAAAGACGACTAAGCCGCTTCTCAAGGAAATGCCGACTTTATACAATGGAATGGAAAAATATGTTACAAAGGGTAGAAGGCATTGCCTCAAATTCAAAGAGTCAAAGAACAAAGGACAAAGCTCTCGGCGTTGTTCAATCCCTGAGGGATGCGCCATGCATTGAGTTCATTAAGCATCGTTTGGAGGTGATGATTGAAACCGTATCTGACCTTTACATCCACTCGCGGTGACCTATCGATATATCGAACCAGTGCTGCTATCTTCCCAGATAAGTGTGCCACAATTTCCCCACCCCGGAGAAATGGAAGGCTTGGTGGGCCATAGAGGTGGGGATCGATTCCATGTGTGCCTTGCAGGGCGCCTTCGACCACTGCACTCCACGCGCCGTTCCTTGAAATTCAAAGAGTAGTAGGAAAGAATAGAAAGCTGCATTGCTCAGCTGCAGAAGCCAGAAATAATGTTTAGAAAATCCTTAGAACTTCGTCAAAGCTCAAATCTAACTACTTCCCAGGATCGACTTTCTCTTAACCTCGGCATTGGAATATGAATGTGTCGTTTTCTTGTTCAGCAATCGCGAGGTTTTTAAACAGCATACATTTACTTCCATAAAAACACAATACAATACAACGATAGGTGACGTTTCGGCTGTATCGCCTTCTTCAGAGCCGCTTTTTCGTGACTTTCAATGAGGAAGTTTAGAACAGCTGATTATAGTCGCATGTGGTTGACGACTGCCGTCAGTCGAGTCGACGAGTCGGCAGTCGTCAACCACATGCGACTATAATCAGCTGTTCTAAACTTCCTCATTGGAAGTCACGAAAAAGCAGCTCTAACTACTTCGTTGTCACCTTTTCCTTCTAGAAAACCCAAGAGGTCATCATATTAAGAAGAAGTTATAGACGACTTGGTAATACGATTTAAGGCTCCAATTTTTTAAAAGGTTTCCAAAACTAGTGGTCATGCAAGGTACTTTCCATCTTTAAGAACGTCTACTCTACGTGGAGCGACATCTCTGTGACATTTTTAGCTGTCGGCATCTCTATCTTTCCTATACACACTATATATATCTATACACACTTCCTAAATTCTACAGAAATGGAAAAGACAGTGATTCAAGTGCGACATGTGAACTGGCAGATTTTAGTGAGAATTCAACAAATTTCGTAGGCACGCTAAGGTTTTAATGCTAAAACTTCGACTTAACTCAATACGTTGCCATAACTGGCATAGAAAAGCTGGGCACCGGAACAGAACCTTCACGCCAAAGTTCTCAACTGAAGTCGATGTATACATAAATACTATAATACGTGATAATGGTTACATATAGGACAAAAAATTATCACTACTAGGAGCATGCAGAATCGACTTTTTATTAGCTTCGGTATTGGATTATGAATGCGTCTTTTTCTTATTCAGCAACCGCCAGGTTGTTATACAGCACACACTTCCGTACAAAAACACATTACGATACAACAGTAGCTGACGTTTCGGCAGTATCGCCTTCTTCAAAGCCTGGAAGGGTATACTGATATACAATCTATTAGGCCAAACACTTCAACAACACTTACAAAAAGATAAAAACTCAATGATAATTACACTGTCAACAGCTTCTCGAAAAACTCACCGCTTTTTACATGCTTTCCACTGAAGAGGAACAGTTTATCAGAGTCGCATTTGGCTGACGACTGCACCACACATCAGAAAACGGTGCAAAGGTAGAGGGCCAGGTCGCGTGTGACCTCTGGGCATTCCTCCCTGCTATTTATTGTAGGTTTCTTGGCGTTTATCGAAAAGCTTCAAAAAGTTTGTGCGTTGGTGTTTCGGCATCTTGTGCGAGGGTAGTGACATTTACATCAAAATCTGCTAAGAGTGCTATGCTTTTGTCATGATAAATATAATGCTGATGATACCAATGAACTGAAGGGTAAATCCAGCTGCGCTCGTTCAGCAGTTCAGACGATCTGCATCTAAACCTGACAACTCCGCTTGATCGATGCGCAAATGAAGTCATGTCAGCTGAGAAGTGACTTTGTTTGCAACGTAAAATTTGCACTGAAGGAGTGGACACTAGAGGATATGACTATTTATTCAGAAATATATTCAAGATCTATGCTTAACATAGCTTTGATTGATCACGAAGCAAAAGAGTAAGGAAACAGGTGATTAGAATGAGCTCCATCGATAGGTGTTAAACCATTCGATGAAGTTATTACGAGGATACGAGAAGCACACAATTCTTTGTCCATCTATTTGGTTCCTTGATGATCTACTCTTAACAAAAAAAAATTGAATACAAAGATTTTTCGAGTCAGTTTCAGAGTTTTGCTTTTACAGACTTCGGCCGTACTCGAGTTTCTTATTCCAATTTCGTTATTGTTTTCTCATCCGGTTTATCGAAGACAGTCGGTGTTGATGTACGAGAGAGAATTGATGAGAATCTCTAGTTCCAGCGTCAAAGACAAAACTCTCCCAAAGGTACTGCACTCGTTCACTGTATATTTTCAACGCATTTTAATATATTCTCACTAGTTCTTCTTCTTCAAAGACAGTTTTAGGTTGTTGTGCTTGAAGGCAAAACAAAAAAATTAGTCCGAAAAAATGGTGTGACACATTTATTCACCGCATTTAAGCTCGATAAGACACTAAATGTCAATTTGGCCTATGCTTTGACTTTCGGTGACCAAGTAATTGGATATCTGGCGTTTCCATTTGTGGACGAGCTTAGAACTTCTATTTTGCCTCAGTTGACATATTGGGTTGATGAGACTGTGAGGTTTGAATAAGGGTTGGAAATTCGATCGAATGCACATGAACATTACCTCATTGCACTGAGCTGCATATCCCCGGATGTTGTACGGTAACACTGGCTCCCTTTATGATTTCTACTATAAAAAGCTAAAGCTCTTAGCGTTGATCAATTCCTGTGGGATACGCCATGCATTCGACTTCATTAAGCATCGATAGGAGTGACTAAATGCATGTATTTTAGCAGTTGCTAGTGGAAATTAGGTCTTCGAGTAAGTTCTGGGCACCTTATGATCACTAGCTTTGAGTGCGAAGCTCGACTTCGTAGAAGTTGCCACGCGAGACTTTTTCGTGATTGTCGCAAAGCTATATCTCAAACTTGGGTAGTTAAACCGTTTATAACAATAATAATTCCAGAATAACGAAATATAAACATTAGTGCAATACAAACTGCAATATTGCATCATGATCAATAAGTGAGGGTAAAACGGGTTAGTATCTTTGCTATAGGCCAGTAAAACAGTGTCATGTTGCATTTAAAATACTTTCAGAGTGTCACACGTTTTAGGCGCATTAAGGGATTTATATAAGACCGTAATACCTGACTCACAAACAACAATACTAAAGGGTTACGCACTGTATGTAGGATTGTGATGTGGTTTTGATGAGGCTAACACGTTAAGGGCAACATGTAGGCTTGTTATAACATTAGGACGAGGTTATATGTTAACTTGTAAGTACATCGCAATTAGGTTAACGTATTAGAGAATGCATGTAAGCGTAGGAGTATACTACGATGAGGTTAACGTGAACACACAGTAAAGTTAGCGTGTTTGAAGGAAAATTGTCATTTTTTTTTGACAGCAAAGTTAGTATACAACAGTGACCACCTACCAAAAGAGTTAACACCTTGGATTAACTACATGGTGCATCACACATGATGAAGAGGGGCGAATACACTATTGACTCACGGGGCTATTTCAATGTCTTCTGAAAGGGTCGGTACTTTGGTACAAATCCAGAACCTTTATTGAGAACATTCGTCGACTTCCACATCCAGCTCTCTCATGATCAAATGACTGAGGACGATTTGCAGTCAACTTTATGCGCTTTGTGTTACCGTAGCCGTGATGGTTTGGAACAGATGCAACACACAAAAGGTTCCACTTCCATAAAGAGTGTGGATAACAAAGAATGTTTACGACAACCAAGTTTCTCTCAATGAAGTAAAAACGTTTACACGCTGCAAGATGGCAAAGCGATGTGAGGGACCACGAATGTAGTTACAACGGATCAACGATATGATGAAAGAATAGTAACTATTCCGGCAATAGTTACTATATATATGGTCCTTATAATGAATGACTCACGGTGGCCTACCAATGTATCGATCCTGTGCTGGTATCCTCCCAGAGAAGTTTGGTACCAATTTACCTACCCGGAGGGATGAAGCGCTTGGTAGCCCTAGGGCGCAGGGGTCGATCTCATGCGCATTTGCATAACGCGCCCGACCACTGCGATACACGCGCCCATATGATTTCTACTATATCTGTGAAAATTGTCTCATATCTGTATCTAAAATATCTGCTTATTTATATGGATGCATAAATTGAATAATAAAGCTGCGTTTTTGAAGGTGAGCTCCTTGTTCTGGTTTAATATGTTTACAGTGGTAGGCATAGGAGAAAGGGGAAAATAAAGCATAGTTAGGTAGGGCTTTGTTGTGTAACAATGCACTTATTTTTTTATTTGTTTTCATTTTTTCGTACGTCCTGTTTTCACATTTGCTGTGCGGATTCCAGCAATTCTCACATTCGATTAGTTTCCTTGCACCCATCATTTACGGAAGTCCTCAAATCTCGAATGTCGCAGAATGCTGGTCGAGTGGAATCTCTCTAGAGTTCTGAGATAGCCGAGCTGGAGTGTTCTCAGTTGGATTGCAAAAAGTGATTTCTTTCCGGACAAGTCTGGTACCAACATTCTGACCTCGGGGCATGAAAGGCTTGGTGAGTTTGAAGCGTGATCGAACCATCACCGTGCTCCTGATGATCGACATCACTACCACTCCACCATCCGCCACCAAAGACCTTCAATTTCCTAGTTTAAGTTAGTGAAAAAAATCTTAACTAATCTAACTGATCCTTAATAATACGAATCTTCTCGAGTATTTTTGAATCAGGTTTTTCTGCATAACAAGTTTCAAATAAATCTTTTGTCTTATTCATTACGAAGCTATCATACAATCTCTTCTCCTCTCATTCCCTCTCTTTCTCTCTGTCTTTCACTATTTCTCATCTTCTCATGCCCATGCTCTTCACCTTTCCTCACCTTCTCTTTCTTCCTATCTCTTGCCATCTGTCTTTCTCCAGTCCTTTTTCTCCTTTTCTCTCCTCGTCCTTCGTTCTTTCTCCCTTTCATTGGCCCTCTCTATCCCTCCATCTTAAATAGCCAAGGTTTTTCACAGAAGAAAGAACAAAGAAGCAGTTCGTTTAGGTCGTGAACGTTCTCGGTATTGAAGTAGGCAACGCCGGAGAGCAAGCTTATTTCGAGAATCTATCGCGGGTATGGAATCTTCGACTGTAGATGATGTACAGGATACAGGATAAATAAATATTTCGTTTTTGTCTTTTTAGTCTCTTTTTGTGCAATTTTTTTGGTAATATCATAAACTCGGATGTGAACACAACAACGCAGCGCTTTAAAGATAGGCATTCCTAAAGTAATTGTGGAGCACTTCAAAAGCTATCGCGACCCTCAGAATCTTAAAATCATCGAAGACAGAGGAAATCTAAACAAACGTTGAAATCTGTTAGAAAGGATATTCGGCACTATCATTCCACAGCAGGACTCGAGTTGTTCATTATCAAGGCCGAAGTCGAAAGTTCCATGGAGAAGCTCAGATGTGTTGAGGAACAATGATGACAGATCGGGTTAATCGAAGACTAACGACACCAAAGTTCTAACTAAGGTTTCAAATGTCACAATCAATTCAGAATTTGTTGGTACTAACTTATTCGTCCACTTCACTAGTAAAGGTCAAGAAAAATTCGGTTTATTCTTCATAATTTAAGATCCAACTTTAGGGAATTTATAAAATGCACCAATTCCTGCCAGTAAGGTTACATGCATGCCTAAACTATTAAGGCTCACTGCGGCAGACTGTAGTGTTCTAAGCAATAGCGACCATTCCGTATCCTTATATCTTTTGTCTACCTAACAAAGCTTGTTCCCAATTTGTTCGTCTTGCCGATATTTTTGTACTTTGAGGGTGGAGCCGTCAGAAATGTTACAATACTGTGTTATCGCTTAAGTTCTCATTCCTCGTGAAACAGTGATACTGAAAATTTAACGTATTCGCGAAACGGAATCGATATTTGACTACTTTCCACGCGATTTCATGATGGTCACAGCTACAGTACGCTAAGGGTGCAACCAATAAACGTGCACTTTTGACGTGACTTTCGAGTAATTCCTTCTCAACAATACAGTACTCTTATGGTGCGATCAGTAATTGGGAAATTCTTGAATGAGTCGTGAATGGTAACATTAAAGTTGCAGCTTAATAACATTAACAACAACAGCATCAAAATGAACAAGTTCCTATGGATATTTTCAGTTCGCAAACTTTGACTTTTTTTCATGGCTTACTGTTGAGAGGGTTACAAAAGATTCCAGACCATTCAATATACCACTTTATAGACAATTAGCTGTTTTCTGAAATGCCGTAATCGCTATCGGATTTCGTTGGAATGTTCGGTCTATTTTTGACCGATTAGGCGAATTTAAACGAACCAGAAAAGCTTCAAAACTAATGAATGATCCTTTATACATTTGCTTAGGAAACACGAGGTGTTATGTTATTTCTTTATTAACGCACAAGCTGACTTTTCGGCGGATTTCACCTTCCTCAGAGACTGGAAAACTTCGGTTGATAGTAATCTACCCGACCAAACACCTCTATTACCAAACAGAGAGAATGCTAAGCCAAAATTTCAGTTGCATTGAACACAGACTCTTTGCACACTCACCGCTTTCTATGAGTCTTCCGCTGAGTACGTCGCGTGAAGACCAACCGCACAGAGTTCACATGGAAACGTAATGTGCCCATCTCATCAGAATAACTAGCGTTTCTACTGTCCAATATCACGTGTGATAATGAGGCATTCCCTGGGGCTCATTTTCGGCTTTCTGGAATTAATCCAGAACGCCTCGAGAGTTTTGCGAGCTTGTGTTCTCGATTCCTGTTCGAAGATCGTAACCCCTACTTTAAAATCATCTCCGTTATGTCTCTGCGTCCTATGCATGCCTAGTGGAGTATTTGGTTTGCCTTCGCCGACTAGTTCTTTTATACGAACGCCAACGTATTCGTCTCCGCACGCTTTACAAGAGATCAGATAGACTGTACCCGAACTCAATGCAGTCACTGTCTCTACCTCAGGGGCAAATTATGCAGTTTTGCGTTGCACATAGATGGTCGTATAGGCGGTTACGAACTAGGTGACACCTAAGAGTGCTCGGTGGCATTTCAACTACGTTTACCGAATTCTCTAGACCCACGCTTCTTATGCAGCGTTTTATAGCTCCACTTATTTCATTTGAAATAGAGAGCAAGGTAAACGGCACTTTACTGTCGTTAAAGTTATCGAAAGAATGATCGTTTAAAATGACAACTCAGGCCACCTATATTCAGCACTTTTAAAAAAGTTGAAGTCAGAGCAGGACCAGAGCATGTAGTCAATTTGAGCTCTCCTTTTTGGATTTTTTCACGGTGATGAAAGTAATTAAACCTTTAAATTATATTCACATGCGCTTTTGTTAATATTTTAAAGCTTTTCTTGTCTGGCTCTGTCATGCTTCATTGTATAGGTTTTGTTCTCATAATGATTGGAATGCGCATTCTACATTTCTCTAACATCGGATTCATTGGCATAAGCAATCAGGTATAAGTGACGTAGCGTCTTCAACTCAAATTAGGTATATATCATAATAATTTACTCCGCCCATATCGTTATCGTTAAGGGAAACTTGATGGCCGTTCTTTTATACAAAAGTAGTCGTACGTGCGCTGCGGTCCAGTTGACTTCATCTGTCGGCGTTTGGCGATTCCTTGAACATTTTCACCGATTCGGGCTCTCTGCATTACTTTATGACCAAATTTCATAGTCTTCTAAAACTTCTTTACTAGTGTATTTCTGTACTATTAAAGGATAAAAGTAGTATATTTCCTGGTATCACAAACTGATTACATTCTTTGAGGCCTATGTCACGCCAAATTTTAGCTCTCATCATTTGAAGCTCACTTAAGGCAGCTATAGATTTATTGTAAAAAGTGATTTTTGTCTTCGTTTGTATCATGCATTATGCATTCTACTGAAGGGACTTCGTTCTTAGTCATGTTTTCATGTACACGACGACCAACCGTGTAGTGCAGAAATACGGTACTGCATAAGTAATTACAGCATATCGTTTGATCGTCGTAACTTATCTATCTCACTAATCTTTTGTACTACGAAAGTAGCGAAGTCCTGACGCAGACGAAAAAACGTTGGAAGACACATAGAGTTTATTGGTAGGCTACTATAAAAACTGAAAGAATACCTGTACAGTGATATCAACACTTCGATCATGAATACGATCGTCAAAAGGCCACACAGAATCAAAGATCCGTGTTTTCATTTTTTTGCTTTCTTTTCTTGTATTTCTGGATTTAATTTACTACAAAGGACACACTAGACATCATATGTAATGAAAGGATGAGAAATTGAAACTGGAGTTAGATAAGCAACATTGAAGTAAAGACGAAGAACAACGTCGATGAAATGACCACCGAAGTTGCTGACGACTTCTGAAACACGGGAAAGTGGAATCTATTTCGTGGACTTTTTTCGGGAGCAGAACATCAACGCACAAAAGTGTTCGTTTAGAGTAACTTTGCCTCAGTAGTTTGAACAAAAACATTGTATTTTAGATTCTTACGCTGTTACATTTGCTTTCACCAAAAGAAGAACAAAAACTTTTGAAAGTCTGCGTCAAAGCACTAAAGCTGTAGAAAACAGTTTAGTCACTCTACTTACCACTTCGTCTTTGAGTTCCGCCTTGATACTGTTATCAGAGGCGTCGTCGGATGTGTTATCGACAACTATCACTGGTTCTGTCGGTGTTGGTGACGTTACTTCAACAGCGTTCGTGTCCATTCCAACATCGGTCTCAAGTGTAATATTTGGATAATTTGAACGAATAAAGACAAATTCCACTATTCACCAATTGTTATACAAAAAAATGGTCACAAAGTTAGATAAGCTTCGTTTTAAGTTATTTTCCAGTTTTTTGAGTAAGTATATAATTATCTGTCAAGTTCCTGTTAAACTTATAACTAGCCGAAGCCTGTAGTTTGCTTTATCACCTTGTTTTCCTGCATGTCTAGTGGGTGCTGTTCCGTGAAAACGGAAGACGACGAGGTTTCTATTGGTTCCTCCTTCTCTTCCTCCTTATCTTCGTCGAACTGAAGGATAGAGTTTGCAATGACTGAGAACTAAATAAAACCATTATACAAAAATCTTACGCTGGGTGGTGCAGGAGGCATATGGTCAACTGGGTGTTCGATAACGATTCCCTCATCTTCTTCTTCGGATGCGGCTGTGGCTTCTTCCTTAAAAACTACACGTATTGAACTACTTCTTAGTAAAGTAGATACAAAGTCAAATCACTATTTAGGTAGAGCCAAATTGGAGAAAAAACCGTTTATTTCCAGGAAAAAATCGAGTATTACGACTTTTGGGTAGGTCCGCTTTGAAGTAGATCACACCCATGCTTTGAATCTCGCGCTCTTACCATCGAATTAATCGCTCCTTTACTTTCCAAGATACGGATTTTACTCTTATATTTCTTTCCCTCGTCGACATAACTAACAGTTAAGAGAAAATAAGACCCATAAGGGTCTGAATTGTAAATGCCCTGTTCCTGTACCTATAGGTTTTCAGAGACAAAAAGCAAGTCATATCCACTCCTATGCTGTGACTGTTTTGGATGTTTGATTGGTCTCTCTACGAGCACAGCGCTGGCTGACTCCGACAGACACTCGGTCAGTGAAGTGAACTTTAATTGAATTTCGCCATTGTCATAATTAGTTAACACGAACGAAATGGCTCCTAAAGAGATCACATCGTTCACTGTGCCCTTTAAGATGCACACACCTCCTGTTTAGAAGACTCCGTCGATGCAACTTCTTCCACAGTTTCTTCCTCTGTTGTGGTAGTCGTTACGTCTATAGAAAACGCTGTTGATAGCTCAGTCTCCTTGGGTTCTTTATTGACTTCTGCAGTAGCAAACACCTTAATTATTTCAAATACTTTCTGTAAAATGGCTTAAACGACGAGAAGAAGAAGAAATCGAACGAAACAACGAACAATTCAAGTATGACAGGTGGGTTTCCCTAAAAGAAATAACACTAGGAGCGGACTGTGAGAGCTGTAAAGGGTTAAACATAGAAGCAACATGATTTTTGGTATAAGCCTTACCTTCTCAAATTGCACAAGATCTTTAAGGAAAGCACAATCTTCTGGCAAATTTTTCACGTAGTTCTCAGTCATAAGACGAGCTGTGGTGAGATTTTCATTAGTCGACTCTCTGATCAGAGTGTCAATTCCACTTTGCACCTGGTGCCGGGCGATATCCTGAAACCATTAAATTTAATGAAGCATCAGCGACATCGCTCATACAACCGATTATTGATCGGTGTCATCAGAAAATCTGCAAATCGACAGACACCAATTGTACTAGCGACGATGCTCGAAGGCGTTACTTTCTATTGAATTATTCACCATGAATAGATCACCAGCTCCGGGGCATTCCTTATTGAATGTGCTTTGAGAGCATCGCACATGACAGATTTGCCTTCTGAAACCATTGTATCAGATGTACTGGGAACGAAGCAAGGATACTCGGCTAGGATATTCTAACCTGCAGATTCCAGCGATGCCGTCTAAGAAGACAGTCGGATTAACTGATGCAGCTGGCGATGAGTCAAGTCGAAATGGAATCACTGTCGGTACTTCGCATTCTGTTGCACATTTTAACGTGACATCGTCAACTCCCTTCAGACAATTGGATACCATTCGAAACTCTGCAACAACGATTAGGCTGTGGTGTGCGAACTTTCTCTCGCTTCGTAAAGCAACCACTCACTCTTCCCGTGAAGAATACTACGCTTCTTACGGTCACAGCTTGATTGTCAGAAGTGAAAACTCGGAAAGATATTTAGAACTTTGAATCTCCTAGCGTTTCTAAGCTGTTATCAAACGCTTTTAACCTACTGATATATCGAACCTCTCAGCGGGTGTTTCTTCCATTTCACCGCTTCACAAAGAGATATTTTCCTTATTGTATTCTTCTACTATATTAATGACTGAAAGGTTAATGATGAGCGTTGGCTACTCTAATACTCATGACTATATTCCTATTGTAGTCCTCCACTACCTTAAAAAGGATAGAGCTCGGCGTCCATGAGGGATGCGCCACGCATTCCACTTCATTAAGCGTCGTTTGGTGGTGATTGAGTGCATATCTGGCTTTTACAATGACTTGCGGTGGCCTACTGATGTATCGAGCTAGTGCTGCTGTCCTCCCAGACAGGTTGGGTACCAATTTGTCGACCCAGCAGAGATGGAAGGCTTGGTGGGCTATGTGCTCGGGATCGATTCCACGCGTGTGTTGTAGGGCGCCTCCGAACACTGCGCCACACGCGTCCTTTCTACTGCCTTAGTGGTCGAAAAACTAGAATTCTAAAACTATAGCAAGTTGTAGGTGTGCAAAATAAAGTGAAAGATTCTAATTCAGCAATTGAAAAAGTAAAATCACATCCACTTTTTACTGCGTCAGAAAAAGTGAGCACACTACAGGAGTTGACCTTAAGTGTCGATTGTTTTTTTTGTTCATCACTTTTTTTCTGTATATGATCTTCCTCGTCTGGTCTCAGTTTGAAGTCGGTGGTTTATCGGACTGACTCACCTTCCATTTTATCGTTGCACATAAATGAACTTGCATGAGTGCGAGCTTCGAGTTCTGGCTGGAGCTCAGCAGGACAACCACGTCCACAATTCAGCAACGCTTCGTTTGTACTAAAACAGAACACCGCAGTAGAATAAAAAAATCGTATTAGTATCAGAATATCGGAATAAAGTCATAACTTTTAAAAAAATTTGATATCACAACTTTAAGAGCATAAACGCTTGAGTAACCACTTCATGTTCCATGTTTACTAGTTTTTAAGACTTTTTCCTTCCGATAGATTATTGCCTTTCAAATTAGATCCTTTTGAACCTTTCAGGCTTGATAGATTTTCAATTACCAACGTAATGTAATAACTTTTTTGCTAAGGTGCGATCTGAAAGGGAATAATGAATTTTTCATCTATCCAGAAGACTTCTCTGAAGTGATTGTAGAGAATACTTACTTACTTAAACACTTGGATAGCCCTACCTCACTAATTGCACGAACCTCTTTTGATATTTTAGCTATTTTAATGCCATAATGTTCTAAGGTCAGCCAGGCCAAAGTCTGCCCCAGGTCGTCACCACCACAGACAGTCGCTGCCCTTGTGGATTAGAGGGAGATTTGTCACCATGTGACTAGTTTGATACGAAGACAGTGGTGGATCCTGGTACTCGTTTACTCTTAGCTAGGCTTCCTGGTGGAAACGCCAGACTCCTCAGCTTAGGAGACTCTACCAAGGTATGAATCCCCGCTGTACATCACAGCCCGTCATCCAGGAGTACCTCCTAAGCACGATGAGGCAGTAAACCGTTGGGAGATTGTAGAGAATGCCATACCACTTAGAATCAAGTTACTATGTACTTTTTCGGTTAGTAGGTAACCTTAATGTCCACGTTTGCTATCTCCCAGGTCTATTTGTGTAAGTAAGCGTTTTGCTCCACTGAACTCCCCTTACTGGAATAGTAAAGCTCGCAAGAATGGGAAAGTCCTGCATAACGAATATTTAAATATAAAATTACTGATGAAACACATCGATAAAGATAGGACTTTTCTTAGAAGCATTTCACAGATTGTCGTCAATCCAACTAGGCGTTTTCATCGTAGCAAAACTCTAGCAAAAAGCAGAACACGTTTTTCGGCGACAACTTGACATAACGTTAATACTAAAGTGCTGATGAACATTGACGTCTTTAAGAACTCATACGATCACGTTGAAATCCTTAGGCATACACTTTTAGAGCGAGGTGATGCGCTCCCTCGATAGCGTAAAGTTTCTTTGCTTTTTCCCCTCAGAATGGTGTAAAATTCGGGAAGTTCCGGAAATTAAACAGAACTTACTAATAAAGTGTTTAAACCACCAAATGTCTGTTGTTTTTTAAACAATTCTAACTTGTTAAAGAGCCTTATCCTTAAAAAATTTTAAGGCTCGGATATAACATCCACTTATCCGGCACCACGCAGGTAGGTGGGCCCATTTGTATCCCAGTTAAAGGGATTCTTCTCACTATTCTAGTCGTAACCATGTCATGACTTTCCCATCGTGACTGTGCATTTAGAGGAATGCTGGCGCTTTGAACTATGCTTCATACGAGATATTTTGACGTAGATCTTCTCTGTAGAGACCAGCTTCCAATGGAAATATGGAATGGGAAACAAGACAAAAATCACGCCATTCCCCATCGGTTCGACATGCGCAAATACTCTATTGACATAGTTAGTGCAAGTACTAATGCTAGTGGTTAGTGATACTGTCAATCAGTGGCAAAGGCGCTAGTTGGACTACCGCTCCACCGCTGTCTTCCAATCCACGTCAGAACACCCTAGTCCCGGCTGTCTCCAAGATTGCAAGGACAATAGAATGGACCAGCATTATACGAAATTCATAAAGAAGACGAAATCCTCAAGCAGCATCCGAGACAACACGTGAAGTGTTCGAAAACGACTGTGGATGTTGGATGCGAGAAAAACGAATCCACTGAAAGAAGTGCTAAGATTTGCACAGTAGATGTGATGGTAAGTCACGTAAAAGGTTAAAAAAATACTAGGTAAATAGATATGGGAGTTTCATGTAATAGCTTCTACAGTGCTGAGTAGGGCCTGACATGCGAGAGAACCCTTAAGAGATTTATCAACGTATGAACGCTTTTATTTACCCTTTTTAGGGTCAAGAGTAGAACTCGAGCAAAAGCGTTAAAAATTTGAAATATTTTCACTTTTTTTTACTCATATACTAATTATATAAGTATCTGAACATGTAAAGTTCTCGCGGTGTTCTTCCCGTTTATGCCTCGACTTTCACCAACCGACGTGAAACCTACGATGTTGGGACTTTATAATTTCGAAAATAAAAGTCCACCAAAACAGGGTGTCAATCCAAAAAGAGAGCTGTTATTTCTACAATATAAATCTCTTTAAACAGCTCTACAAATATAAAAGTAGCGCTTCGCATTTTCCGTGGAATGGCACGAGTCCGGTAGAGTACTTATCCGGCGGTGAGCAAGTGTACAATGAAATTTGAGCGATAAACGATCACCACAATTTTTTTTTACCTCAGATAACATTGATGTTGGTTTGTGACAGCTTAGTGCAACGTTGATACCGATTTACATCAAGAGGTGACGTTGTCATGTTTTCGGTGGCCGGTTTTTCTCATCTGTTGATCGCGCTGCCAAACTAGAAGGCGACGGGGCGAGAGATAGAGAATTTGTAAAATAAGACACGAAAAATAAATATTACTATTAATAATGAAACATATACATTATCAATAGTTTTTCTGATTTTTCTTACCTTTTACATCCTCTGTTTCGGTTACGGTGTCGATTCTATCTTAGCTTATTATTATTCATCATAAACCTCTCAGAAGTTTCCCGCCTCATCGTGGCCGAGAGGTGCTCCTGGGTGTCGCTATACGATTCACAGTAGGAAAATTCATCCTCCAGCAAGGCCTTCCGAGCTGAGAAGAAGTCCGACGTTTCTATCAGGAAAACCAGGTAGGAGTAAACCAGTACCAGGATCCACTACCGTCCTCGTATCAAAGTAGTGGTGGTGGTGACACATGGTGACAAATCTCTCTCTGGTCCACAAGGGCGGCGACTGCCTGTGGTGGTGTCAATCTGGGGCAGAGTTTGGCCAGACTGACCTCGAGACTCCAAGAAACCACGATGGCTAAACCAGCAAAACCTCGAAAAAAATGTAAATCACGCCCAGCCTCCACACAACCAGTGAAGTCGGGCCATCCAAGTACCCAAGTAAGTATCATCTTAAATTTCGGGTATCGAAAACCAAGTAACAAGAACATTCTCGTCCATTTCCTTTCTTCCCACCCTTCACACACAAAGAGAGCGATTGTGAGAAGCATGTTTCGAATAGCCACCTCTGTGTGCACTACCAGGGAACTAAAGGAAGAGTCGCGCGACTTGGCTCGGCATATAGCCATCTCCAATGGCTACTAAATAGTAACCCCACGAGATAAGTTTACAAGGAGAACGACGCGCCCACGCGAAACACTTGGCCAAAAGAAAATCCCGTTTATGTTGTCTTTTATAAGCGATGAAGTAAGCGTAGCTATAAAACGGTGCTTAAGAAGGGCAGGTCTAGAGGAATCGGTAGCGATACTTGAAATACCACCGGCTACTCTACGTTGCCAATTAGTTCGCAAACGCCTGTATGACCGTCTGTGTGAAACAACAAATTGCGTAATTTGCCCTTACGGCAGGGACGGTGATTGCATGAGTTCAGGTACGATATACTTGATCTCTTGTAACAATTGCGGAGATGAATATATTGGCGAAACGGGCAGACCTTTGTGTATCCGTATAAAAGAACACCCAGATGGCAAACGAAAACTAAGACGAAGCACCCCACTAGGCACGCATAGGATACAAAAGCATAGCGGAGACGATTTTGAAGTAAAAGTCAATATCCTTGCACAGGAATCCAAAACACCAGCGCGAAAACTCCTAGAGGCTTTTTGGAAAAATGCTAAAAACCCTACAATGAATAGCAGGTACGAATGCCCGGAGGTCATACGCGACCTGATCCTGTACGTTCGCATCGATTTTTGATGTGGGATGGTGCAGTCGTCAACCACATGCGACTATAATCAGCTGTTCTAGACTTCCTCATTGGAAGTCACGAAAAAGCGGTATTTTTCGTCTTTTTGTAAGTGTTATTGAAGCGTTTGGCCTAGTAGATTGTATATCAGCATGCCCTCGCAGGCTCTGAAGTAGGCGATACTGCCGAAACGTCAGCTAGCGTTGTATTGTATTGTGTTTCTCTATGGAAGTAAATGTATGCTGTTTAAAAACCTCGCGATTTCTGAGCAAGAAAACGACACATTCATATTCCAATGCCGAGGTTAATAGAAAGTCGATCCTGGGAACTATCGTCTTAAACTTTAAACTGTAACCTCTCGATGAAAGTCTGCAACTAATCAACCAGCTCTTGTTAAACCTTCAGGTATTTGAGCAGTATTTTACGTTACGGCTAGTAACTATTTCAGAAATGAATGCCGAGAACGTTCGGTTGTGTCAGATGTGTTCTAAGCGCGCTGTCAAGTCCATGTTATTACCCAATCGCACCATTGTCGGACACCTCATAAAGCGACACGGAAACGCTTGTCGTTGTCGTTTTCGTTGTCGTCGTTAGCATCCATTTGCCACTTGTAAAACGACCTTGGCAAAAACTTGTTCATCGAATCGAATTGTTGTTTGTTTCCATATAATTTGTGTTATGAAAATTAATCTCCGTGTCTCAATGATCAACGATAGCGCTTTACAGTGATAGTGTTGCCGATTGATAGGAAATTACCGTAGGCCTTAGATGTGCCTTGAATGTTGCACTTCTCCTTTACTGGTATTATTGGAAATAATAGAAGAATGGCTGAACCGTTATCAAACAAAACATACGTAATAACGTTGACGCCAACTATCACCATTTCTTAAACCACAGATATCATTTTTAGATGGCGCAAACCAGTTAGTTTTGTTGAACGTTAGGTGGGTCTTATGTAATGTTTCGTCCACCAAAATGAACGCTTAGATGGTTCTTGATGAATTACTAGTACTGCATCATAACAAAAGAACTGCAGCCAACATTACACTAAATTGATTCGATGGAGAAGAGGAGCAGATTCTTAACTATGTAACCTGAATTGGGTGGTGTGTTTGATTTACGAACTCTTTAGATTTGATGTTGACCTTCGATTAAGTGTAATAAAGGCAGCAGCAGATGATAACTGCTCAAAACCAGAACAAGCGCTATCAGTTTGTTAGCTTCAGCCTTCAAAGTAAAGCTGGACATGGTCAGAGCACTTAAAAATAACCTAAAAACCTTAGTAACTTTAAATGACGGGTACTTTTGGGATACAGTAAATAAATGATACTAATTGCATTTGTAAAGTCATTTTCACAATGCTCACGAAACGAGCGATTTGATCGTTGATTCATTACAGTTGACATTGGCCTTATAAAAAAGTCGCGAACTAATGCGACAATGTTTGCTAAACCGCGCAGCACCACGAGTTCAACTGAGAGAATACTCCATGCAGTAAGTTGTGACGACCCCTAGACGAACTGTGATAGCCATCATGGTCCCATAAACTGCTCAAATCATTCGATTACCTGCAGAAGTTCTCGATATCCATGGCGATACTTTTGAAATTGAGTAGATCGAATGCTGCATTCACCACACTTCCCGATTCAAAACAGCCTTGAAGACAAGCGCTGGTAGTCGGTATTACCGGTTGTGATGGAATGGCCGCACCTTTAAAGCACTTTCGTCATTTTATTTCGTATCTAGCAACCAAAGTACATTTCATACAATACTTATACTAATACAGTTTTTCGTATAACCATCTCCGCCACTATTTCGGCAGCAGAATAGTTTCCCGAATAACTTTCTCTACCACTAATTCGGCAGCAGAATTCATCAGAAAAGCTCAGTTCTATCACCGCAACCTTATCTTAGTAGTATCTCTGCAATCAGCACCGTATTTTGGCAATAATCTCCAACGGCGCCCAATACAGGTATTGGCGAATTATTGGACTCTATGCAAAATTAGCTTTGGACGAGAAGAGTTGAACCTCGTACCGTAGGTGTTTGTGAAGAGAAGAGAAAGTAGCCACACCAAGATCATGATCTGAAATGTGTATATGGTAAGACATTGAGGCGAACACGTGGTGAAATGCGAAAATTGGATTTTCAATGAAAAGAATCGTGGTCCGACTTTTTATATGTAAAACAAAAACTCCGATTTGCAGTGGGGGGAAGAGATGATGTGAAAAACCGAGCGGATCAATAGCAAATCTCCAACAAAAATAAGAGGTTATACCTAAATCTCACCAACAAAGGTAACTTCATAGTAAAGGGGGTTAAAGAGTGGTTCCTGAGAAGAAAACCGTTGAACACAATAGAACATGCACATAGTTCATCTCTGGTATTTATGAGCAAAGAAACTGGCTAGAAATATGATCGTGAAAATTGATGATTGAGTTGACAGAGTTGTTTCGTTCTTTAAAAAGTTTATATACGAAAACCAATAACCAATATCGACGAAGAACAGCGAAAAAGTGATGGGAGCTGGACGGTGGAATGACTGCAATGTCCGTTTATGGGGCGTGGTGACTTTTACTTTTAAAGTCTCCACCTTCTTGTTTTCGGTACCGTCTCTGTAATCATGGTCTTAAACGAGAAAATTAATGAGAAGAAGAGAGAAAGAAAAAGAAAGAGGGTATGTGAGTCCCGTGACACAGTCTTATGCCATGCTCGACTTGCTCACCTACGATTTGCGATCGACGTTCAGTGCAAGTTCAGGTCAGTATTCTCTACTGAATCACCAACGATCGTTCTTTCCATCCGACTTTTCAACAATCATTTGAAGCGTTGTCATTATGTATTTTACCCACCTTAAGCTTCAATTTTCAAAGGGCGCGTGTGGCCCAGTGGTCGGTGCCTGCAACACATAGACGTGGAATCGATCTCCACGCCCATGGTTCACCAGGTCTTTCATACCTCCAGGTTCGGCAAATTGGTACCAGATTTGTTTAGGTGGATAGCAGCCACTGGGTTGATATATTTGTAGGCCACTAGTTACTGTGAAGGCCAGATATACATTCAATAACCTCCAAACGGTGCTTAATGAAGTCAAAGGCATGGCGCATCCTTCAGGGATTGATCAACGCCGAGAGCTTAACCCTTTATTCTTTTAAGCTTCAACCACACTTTAGACGAGTAAATGACAATTGTAAAGGATCAAAGGCTTGACGCTGATATCCCTTAGGGAAGTGACATTCATTCGACTCTATGTGCTTTATAGAGGCGACTGGATTCACATTCGTATTATACAACGAGCCACGGTGGTGGCCTATCGACTTACTAGTTAAGTGCTCTTTATCGTTCTAAAGAGGTGTGGTAGCAATTTGCCTACTCCGAAGAGATTGGATGCTTGGTTACTCGATGGACTGTGTTCAAAATAAGGACCAGTGTTTCAGGACATTGCTAACCACAGTACTGCACTCTCCATTGATGTTTTTCTGAGACAGTTTAACTAGTCGTTTTCCTCTAACATCATGCAAAGTTTACTTAGCATTGCTAAAATTATAACACCCCACTTCATCAAGGTTACAACACTTCAATGAGGAGCTCTAAGCATCATAATGTAGACGGCTCGTCCGCAGGCAAATAAATCCAGTCGTGATTTATCGCTTTCTCTTTTAGAGATGTTCTAAATAAAAAAGCGTTTTTTTGAAACCTAGGGGTGTTATTTCCCAACAGTATTAGAATTGCGCTATAACAAGAAAAAAAATTCATGTAACGGTAGAAGTGTTTGTAGGACACATAAATTCTTTGGTTTAACTCAATGTCTCGGGCTTAGTCTTCAAACGAGTCCGCAAACCTTCCGGGGTCGGAAAATTGGTACGAACTTCTCTTGTAGGATAACCAACTCCGACTTGATATATTGGCAAGTCCATACAAGTCATTCACTGTATAATCCAGATATGTCTATATTATTTAATGGGGTAGAAAGTATGATAAATCCACAAGTGATTGATTAACAACAAACGTATCATCCTTTTTACCATCACAATAAGAGTACTTTTTCATTTTAGACATCAACACAGACTTCGCTTTCCTTGCGTGCTTCCGAATACTGTAGGTGAATTCAATTCAATCTTTGACGTTCGCACTACGGAGGAGGGTAGAATAGTTGTGCACTTCACGGGATCACCATGAGCATGGAACACTTAGGGTTGCTAGAAACAACAAGGCATTCTAGAGGTATGCGTGTAGAAAGGAGCAAAGGAATATTTGTGGGGAATAATTACAAATAAAAGCAGAAATCGTTGGTCTGACGATATGTACTTTACAAGGAAAGCGGTGAAGGACGATCTGTACTTGAAAACTGTCCTCGTCACTAAATCAAGGTGTGAACTTAGAAGAGATACGGTGAAGGACGATCTGTACTTGGAAATTGTCCTCGTCTCTAAATTGAAGTGTGAACTTCCTGTCCGCTCTTGGGACGGCCGAACTCGAAAACGGAGCCGTTGTAGAGTCTCCTTTTCGTTCAAGGCTATCTTCTGGATATGATTTACTCTCTTAAGAGAAATACTCAAATTTCTACAGATTTCATCTGCTACGTGAAAATGGTAGAAATCTCGGCATATTCGAGAGTTAAAATTTCTTCGAATTGTTGATTTGAAGATATTATGATGGCTAAGCAGAAATTTTTGAGTAGTCTCGATTTTTTTTTGTTTGAAAGCGGTGAGCTCAACTAAACTGTTTTCTATGAAGAGCATGCTTAAGCTTGGAAAATTTTGCTTTTAGCAAAAGTCGTCATGAGGGGCAAGTCACTATGTAAAATGTCAGGAATTTTCTCATCAGGGTTAGTTATCTTTGATTTCTAAACAACAGGATGTGGGAGTGCAAAACTAAAGTCATAGCAATACAGAAATAACTTACTGAGAAAGGAATCAGCTGCTTAGCCTCAAGAAGATGACTAATGCAGCTACATAGGACACCACTCTTATTCGAGCAAAATATTTACAGTAAAAGGCACTAATGCACTTTTCTTGTGACTCACGCAGATGAGCTACATTGTTCCTTCTGTGTCTAATTCACCTATGTCCTCTGTACAGACGTAATCGTATTCGGACCTACGCAAGCGAATGTGCCTGTGTGTTAGCCTGTTGTGTCCTGCATCAGAAGCCATAGAAGACCGCAGTCATGTAACTAGGAGTTAAACTGTAATAGGTTAAGAGTTAACTCCAGCAGGCAAGTCCACATCTCCAGAAAGCAAACTAAGCTGCCTAAAGGCATACCCTCAAGAAAAATAGTGGAAATAAAGGAATTCATGCGATGCTAAACCAAAACCAGTGACTCAAATTTCCAGAAATGAACTCCACTACTCTCTAAGGACTACCGGAGCTAGCTGGTGAGTTGTGCCCTTTCAGAGAAGAAATGCATATATATATATATATATATATATATGTATATGTACACATATATACATACATGTATATATCCATCACTATATTTTTAACATGTTTAAATTTTTAATTATGTTTAATGTTTAATTTTCATGTTTAAATTTTTTTTCTATTTGAGCGGCAGATAGCCACGGCAGGCCCGCGTTGTTCGACTTCAGGAGAGGGTTCATTTTAGTTGAGCGTCAAGATGAGGAGTGTCGCACTCACTCTCAATTTCGTTGATCTCTCCAGAGAGACGAAACCTTCTGTTTCAGCACGAACATCGAACAGCGATATAGCTTTAAACGAATTGAATGCCTCATTTCTCTTAAGAAAGCAAACCTTGTGTGCCACTCTGGTACCAGTGGTGCACCACAGAGTGGAATAAAGAAATTACTGATAGCCAACTCCTTGAGTTACTTTGTGTTACTTTATTCCTATCTTTTAAATAGTTGTTCTCATGGGTTGTTCTGCAATGCTGACTTTTGACGGAACGCGATAGTCAGGCATAAGGTGTAACTCTAGGCGCGGACAGGTACTTCAGCTGCTAGCAGTACAGACAAAAAGGTGACACAGTGGAACTAACAGAAAAATTTGGTCACGTCATTCGACGAGAGTTAACGACGTCATGTAGGTTCCTATCAAAGTACTTAGTTTGACGTATTTTAAAAAAGTGATAAATGTACTCATTCGAACGAAATTTAGTTCGCCGACGTAAGAGAGAAAAATTTAAGAGAAGTGTTTCACAAGAACTAATAGACGTCAGCATTCTTTTAGTCATCCTGATTTGTGCAGTGGTTCTCATAGTTTTCTTAGGATTTTTCTCATAAGGTGTAGTGTAACGAATAGATATCCATTACAGTATACTTCGTATTCGCTACACAAAAGACAAGGAGAATAATTTTCGAGAAGTGACAGAAGTGGAAGGGAATGACGATGTTGTTATGCAGTTGATGGTTGAAAGTGAATGATGTGTAGCTGGGTTTATATGTACATCATCAACTAAACACGTTTTTTCCCGAGAATAGTGGAACGTTTACCGTCCCACTCGTTAGCTTCGCCTTTGTGCTTCCGTCCGAATATCAGACAATACCGTGGTCAGAATGAAGTTCATCACCACAGTCAACTGTTTTTCATTACCACTGCTGCCACAAGTGTTTTCATTTCTTACTTGATATGACCAGCGATATGACAGTTGAAATTGTAAGAGCTGATGAAAACAGTAGGAATTTAGAACTATCGACAACGAAGCTGTCCACAGTGATTCACCTCTTCGTCGTCTTTTCAGTGATGTCGATATGATGCGCTGACAGCACAGGCAGTTGACGACATGAAGAAGTGATAAGAGTGATTGGTTGATGCTACGATTGATTGAATTTATACTCAGGAAGTACTCGCTCATTTCTTCAGGATGTTCATCTACACTACTTTGTAGAATTTGTTTTATTGTTTACTTCATTTCTTCTCAATACAAACACACTGAATATTCCTTGTTAACATTACTATTTATTTCGACAATATAATCATCGCGGTGAAGTTTTAAACAAAAAATCAGGTTTACATTGTTTCCATTCGTTCCGTGTTATGGGCACCATTGTCGACGAAAGAACTTGTGAAATATGGCGTTACACGTAGGTGTGTGATAGCCGCGAACAAACTGTAACAATGCAACAGGCATCTCTGACGGGTTTCGCACTAATTAAGGGAGAGCTATGGGAGACCTATGGGAGACCTACGCGAGACCTCGTTTAACCTCCGGGATCGATTATTCACGACTTTTACGTTGAACAGCATAGAGTACTTCAACCACGATCAAGCGAAGGGTGAAACGATAAGGGATGATGTGCTCAATGTTGAGCAATCTTTAGTGGGTGCATTATTCATTCAAAGTCATCAAGCATTGTTGAGCTGATAACAGGCATATCTAGCCTGTTCAATGACTTGTGGTGGTCTATTAATGTATCAAGTCAATACTGCTATCCTCTCAGGTAATTCTGGAAGAAATTTGCCATTCCTAGGGGAATTGAAGGATTGGTGAACCAAGATGCAAGACTGAACTACAGACCGCGTGTGTACTGCATGGGAACTCTTGTCACTGCGTTACACCACCCGAATTAAATCAGGTATCGCAACGAAGAAGCAAATGTGTAGTCCAGTGGTTAGAAGCGCTCTGCGATAAACACGGGTTCGATCTCAAGCTCTCGCTCATAAGGCTTTCCATACCTCCGGTGTCAGGAAAATTGGTACTAGACTTATCTGGAAGGATACCAACACTGGCTCGATAGATCAGTAGGCCCCATCGAGCCATTGTGTAGACCAGACATGCATTTAAATCACCTCTAACAATGAGATCGAATGCACAGGCATCCCTAAGGATTGATCAATGCCGAGAGCTTAATCCTTCATCCTTTTTTATGGCGACGAAATGATTCCCAGATCTTCGAAGAAATCAGATTTGCGGTTTCTCTTATCCATTTCATATTAGTTATGCCCTTTGATCTGGTTACTTAATATTTGTAAAGCTTACTGAATATCGGCAGCTATTTATCCACTGCTCCCCAACTGTCTAACACGGATGGTAACATTCTGTAAGGCTAGAAGATGCAGCTGCTAGTGTGATAGCGAAAAGTCGTAATGTTCTAGAAATCAATATGCATCATTAGCAATAAGAGCGAAAGAAGGAAACCACATTCAGGTTAAAGTTTTGAGAATATAAAGCTACTAAGACTGAAAATGGAACATTTTCAGAAGAAATATTCAGTGAGACAACGATGTATATGAGTACAAAGACAAAGGGTTAAGCGATACAGCGTTCGACAGTGATCATTCCATTAGCGTTGCGCCAATGCATTCGATTCCATTCATATCATCTTCGAAGGCACACATGATCTACTCAGTGACTTGAATGGGCCCCCGATCGATCGCATATAAAAGGCTCGAAAGGGAGTTCTTTATCACCCCAGAGAAATCTTGTACCATTTTGCTAACTCCGGATCGATGGCGGGTTCTACCAGCAAATGTCGTGGAATTGAACAAACAACAATGTGTATACGGTACAGGTCTAACCACCATGCTCCTGCGCAGTGCTAATTCAAATATAGATTTAAAAATTTCTAAAAATGTAATCGGATGATGCAAGAGAATTACTTCCGATCTATAATTAATTAATTAATCGCCGACGAGGTGAAGAAGATTTCAAGAACTCGAAGAAGTGCTAGAAAACACTGCGACAAACTCTTTAGTATTTTGAAACCGACTTTCCTTGAACCTTGGTATCACTAATCTTTAGTACTTCCCTATTTTCTTGATGAGAAGACCCGATGTTATCAATGACAAGATTTATTCAGTACTGGTTGGCGTTTTGGCGGTTTCGCCTTTCTTCAGAGCCTAGAAATATCAAATTGACCCGCAACCCACTCAGTCAAGCACTTTCATAATCCCAGCGACAAACTTAACCCTTAAATATACATTCGTATAATAAATAGCATCTCTTAAACACTCACCGATTTGTTCCTTGTAAGCCTTCCAGTTACGTGGTGTAGACGAGCCGTGCAGATTCTTATATATGCGAGGGAATGTGCCTGGCTCAAGTCACAGAATCAGCCTGAGGTCTTTGGTGAGGTCACGCGTGATCACGAGTCATTCCACGCTCTGGTTCATTTTTCCGTTCTTCTGTTCTTGTTTCATTTCGAAAATGCCTATTATTTCATTAGTTCTTGGAAGAAGAACATTTTATTGTTGTTGTTTCACGAAATGTTTCTTTGACCAATCACCAATTCATCAACGTTCAAAGAAAGGTTATATAGCAGTGCATTTCTGCGTACGTGTTGATTGTCTCACTCTGCAGTAACTTTACTTCAGTAGAACTAGTTATCTAAAACAATTCATAGTGCTTCTCTTGAAGCGCCATCCATGCATAACAAGTTTGATTGCTTTTAGTAGTGCTATACTATGTATAGCACTACTAAAAACACTCCGTACTATACGTGCCTTTGCTTCTTCTAATTTCTTTTACATGGTCGGGCTACGCATACTGTGAGAATCCCAGTGCTTCATGCATTCGATTCGTTTCCTCATATCCATTGTCTATGAAATGCTTAAAATTTCGGGTGTGGTTTCGGCTTTATGATTTCTGATCTTCTTCATGAACGTCGTCGAATGCTAGTCGAAGCACCAGAATATTAGGAAAGCAGTGCCAAGATGTTCTCAGATCTTCATAACAGGCAAGCACTAGATTTGTCTATTAGAGGGAGCGAAGTGAGCCCAGCCAAGACTGCTACCAGTTTACCGCCCTCGTAGAGATGGAGCGGAGTAGGCCTTGGGCGGAGTTGAAGCAGGATTTTCGGCGCATTCACGGCGCCACTGCGCTACGGAGGCCTCTATTTTCCTCTCTTATTTATCTGTCAATAATTCATAAAACTCCTGATTAAAAAACTTTTAGACGACAGAGCACAAATTTCATTAAAAGTGAGACACGCACATTTTTTTGTGTCGAGGATTTAGGAGAGGATCACAGCTGTGCAGTCAGTTTTCTTGAGGTCGGAACATCTGGAACCATGATATAAAATTTTCGTTTTTCTTAAGTTATACAAATTGTGACTAGTTTTAAGCTTCAAATGATGCTCCTTTAGCTTCAGAGCACCATAATGACCCGCTGTTCTACTTACTCCATTTTTGAAAATAATCTCTCTTATGGAATATACTCATCATAATTTTTTCATTACTGTAAACCTTCTTCAAGCTTCTTTATTCATTGTTACTTAAATAGCTGGCAATTGATATTGTATCGCACATTGTAAGACTTAGGAGAAAAAAGCATTCTCTAACAACATAAACACGATAACGCAAAAAATGATATTGACTTTCGATCACGATAAAGCTGGCGAAGCTAGGTTCAGGTGAACTTACGAACGATCACATATCGCATCTTCTTGATGAACTTCTTCAGTTGTCTCTGAAAGATGTTCAACATCAACGTCTTCATGCGTGGTATGCTGACTGAGAGAACAAAATTAAACATCGTGGAATCATAAATGAGGCGCTAACGAATCAATCAGTGAAAAGAAGCCAAGTGAAGAATAGAGTGTTAATCAATCCCCTAGGGATTCGTCATGCATTCCACTCTATTCGTAGCAAAGTAGAGGTGATTGACACATGTCTGCTTATACAATCATTTCCAGTGGCCTACCGATGTATCATTTCAGTGTTGCTATTCTCTCAGACAAGTCTGATAAAAAACTGCTAACCCCGAAGAGATGGAAAACTTGGTGAACCTAAGGGCGTAGCATCGAACCAGCGAACAACCCAGTGTATACTGCAAAACACTTCTAGCAGCTGCGCTATAGTCGCCAAATTTAGCAAAAAAAGCAAAATAGATTCAAAGAAGTTTAAAAGGTGGCTTTACCGAAATTACGGATCGTGTAAAGGTTTTAACAGATAGAGTGTGATAAGATAATGATGCATTAGATTTTAAAGGTAGATGTGCAAAAACCAACCGTAAAAGCAAGAGTTTTCACCACTTTCTTCTTCTCTTTCGCATTTCTTTCGGTTGACGATTTGCTGGTTTTTGATGAAATCTTGTTCATGTAGTGAAATCTGGGATTTTTCTCAACCTGAAATATTATTTATGTGATAACATACCAGTGTAATCTCAACTTATTGTTTACTGCCTACTCTTTTTAATGGCAGGGTATGTTGCGAAATATAACTTCACTGATGCTGAGTCATTTGCAAAACTCCGCACCGCGGGTGTCTGCGGTGGGGAACGAACGCGCTATTACCCTTTCCGGGGGCTAACGCGTTCACCACCACACCATGCGGGTCCTTCGTTTCGCTTGTCTCCTAGCTGTTTCTATGATCAGTGCCATCAGAAATCACCTGTCAACGGGTTCGATCTGGGGAGCACAAAACGGAAGTGAACCCAGTTATGAACCCAGATCAACCCCGCTGACGGGTGATTGTTGATGGCACT